TCACTTTAGACTTCAGTAAGTTCTACTCAGAGAGAGTCTTAAACCTCTTTCAGCTGTAATACACTGTTATTATATTGAAGCTCCAGTGGTGTGGTAAGGTATAGGGAGGGGAAGAGGTTTATATAATTTTACGACTAACTCATAGACTTTTAGTAGGCCTATGTTTCTGGGCTGTGACCTTCAAAACTGTTTCTCAGTTATTCCCCATTTAAGTGAGGCAAGAAGGCTAGAGGGGGCTGGAGTAGGAAAAATTTCTCCCAGCTGGAGCAAGGCTCTGATAAACGCATTTTCCCCCAAAGAGTAGACTTGTGTTGTGGAGAATGCTCTGGACATATTTCACAATGATTACTCTTTCCTTTTCCCTACCAGAGCCACGGGGAAATGCTTCTTAAATCTTCATCATGAGAACCTGGTAGAGTTCCTAGAGGAACTTTAAAACCCATTACAGTGTGGGAGGCTCCCTAAAGCTGTGGCCCAGAGGAGTTTTAGACTCTCATGCTAGTCCATAGTGTTATCAGAATTACCATTTGTGTATTTATAACAGTTTATATTTCTAGCAGCTTCTACCTTAGATAAGTAGATTTTAACTATTTCCCTGGATCTGCCTGTCTCTGGAGATTTAAAGGTAGCAGTTTGCCCTGTGACTTCAGTTCTCTGTATCCAAGACAAGTCATTGATTTTCAAGTTCGTTCAGCTTTTTTTTTTTGTTTTAAAGATGAGAATGGCAACTCTCAAACTTTTTATATGTGGGAGTATTTACACTGCAACAAGTTGTCCAAGAACTCATGGCAGTGCTCCCCTCAGTCAGGCCTGCTGACAATGAAAGCTCTCTCTGATCATTTAAAAAACCTTTATTCCATACATCCTAAGTTCCAGTGAGTTCTAAACATAGTTTACTCACTCTTCCACACCTTTATATTTCTGGATATACTATACATGGATATATTCATGTACAAACCCAGACCAAATTTGCCAATGTATCAGAAAACCAAGTTTATTATCAGATAGTTGCTAAAATTAGCCTTCCCATCACAAGCCTGGTGTGATGTAATAGTACTAGATATCCATGTCTCACCAAATTGTCTCCTTTCTCCCTAACCTGTCTGGGTTGATTTTTTAGTAAAACTGACTTCTATTTCCTGAAAAACATGCTATTTTACTTATGGCCTTAGACACATGCTTTAAAAATAAACTTGCTTAACTTTGACCCCATAACAGGCCTAATCTTTATAATATCCTCTTTCTGGATCCCCAAAATTTAGTCAAATGTAGCTCCAAGATGGATGGAACTTCTTCAAATATTGTCATCCACTTGACTATGAACACTGTGACTGTTTAAACATTTCTGAAACCAGGAGCTTTCCAACACTGATCTCACTTATCAAGATTTAGATTTCTATTACCAACTCTTCAGCACTCTGGTATGAACTATTGTTACCTCTCATGAGTGCCATTGAGTTAGTTTCCCTAGCCTCAGGCTCAATTTATTCTTCTTTTTGAGGATTCATCAGTAAAATATCATCATGCATGGTAGCTAAGGCCATATAGGTTAAATTACCATTTGTACACATTTCAACAGAGTGGTGAAAAAATCAGCAACCTTACATACACAAACACATGCACACACTAGCACATATACTGGATGTATATTTTTGACTGAAAGAACAATGCATTGTGTAGTCAATGAAACCATATCAAACATTAATAGAATAATTATATTTTTATTTCATACATGTAAGAAAAAACTAGAAGACTATTTACATATACCCAAAATCCCTTGAGACTTTTTTTTATATGCCTAGATACCAAGGTGTAACTTCTCAGTACAAGGAACTTAAAAAAGAAGCAAACAAGAAATTGAATAGTCTCACTAAAATCAGAGATTCTAAATCTTTCCTCCCTGTTTTCAAAGGCTTATAAAAGCTGAAATAAAGTCTTTCTATACTCTCTAAGATTCATAGGTATCTATGACAATGCGATTTAATAGAAGCTGACAAAAATACAACTCAGCAGACCTATAAAGGGAAATCTTTCAGACATTGAAAAAAAAAACAATTTTCCACTTATTTTAGAGGACTAAGTTGCTGAGAGTCTTCACATTTTATCAAGTACCAATTCTTCTCTCTTTTCATTCCACTTTGCACAATATATTGGACAAATTTGGGCTTGAATACAACCATTTATAAAACTGACCATTTTAGAAATGGATAAATGGAGATTAAAGGTTTATATTACTCGCCTGTCTTCAGTTAGGAGCTCTGAAATCCCTTAAATCTTTTCTTAGTTTCAGAGGTAATGTTCAAGTTAACTGATGTTCAATAGAAAAAATATTTCTGCCTGTTTATGAAGGAACTCTGAGTTTGAAAACATCTTGATGCAATTCTAGCAGAAGAAATTTTGATTTTGTCTTAGCCCAAGTGGCTTCAGTAAAGATGAGTAATATTAATATTTCAGAAGATGAGACCATATGCAACACAGGCCCATACTAGATTAAAAGTCTGGATGAATGAAATATCATCTTTTTGGCAAAGGTATTGTACTAAAGAATTGATTTAGAGATAAGGTACTGATCTGTATCAATATTGAGGCCGAAGACCAGGAAAGTTTTAAGGGCCTTAGAATGGATAAGATGGATATTGTATAGCCCTGGGTATAACTCTGGGCTCATTGACAGAAAGACTCACAGCAAACGGGCCTAGAACTAATTATGTAGTTAGGCAGAGCTTGCCTCTTTAGCTGATGGAAAATATCATGGGAAAATATGATAGCAAAACAGCAAAATAAGACCAGACATAAACCAGAAGAGGAGGTAGTTGGTTAGTAATGCATCTGAAAGTATTTTCCAAATCATAACCACAGAGCCCAAGGAGAGCTGTGGACTTGCTGGGTGGAAGAGGTAATGAAAAAAGTTTAGGGGCTGTAAAAACAGCTGGAACTTGGTGAATAGAGAACTAAAGAAGACAGGGCTATAGACAGAGGGCTAAAAATCTACATATAAATTCCCCCTTGGGTCCTTGGCCAATTCCTAAGTTGAGCATATACATTGTGAGATTCTAAGAGGCTAAACAGAGAATGGCATCAGGAGGCTGGATAGGTGAGCAGAGACTTCAGAGGTCACATAATGCTGGTAAGACATTGGAGTCTGAGCTCATCCAAAGGGAAAGACTTTCATGAACACACCAGATTTTCAATTGATATACCATAAGGGATGCCCTAGAACTAAAGAAAATACCTTAAGACTCTAAATGAAACAAAAATAGATCCACTCTAACAAAGCTTAAAACCAAGTCTTGATAAGATTGCCATGATCTTATGTTAAGAATGTTAAGATATAACGTTCTTAAGAGGAAAATAATATAATCAAGAACCTCTAAATTCCTTGACAGTGCCTGGCATTCTATTAAAAAAATGACTAGACATACAAAGAAATAGGAAAAAGCAGCTGAAAAAGTGGTAATAGAATCAATTCCAGAGAGGAATCTAGCAGACAAAGCCTTCTAAGTAACCATAATTAATATGTTAAATATTTATTACCTAGGGTTTTGGTAAGGGCCAAGTGAAATCACATATGCATAAGTGTTTGGCACTCATATGTTTTCTTTTCATTTAGACTTTGCTAGAAAAACACTGCAGATTTTTAGTAACTACTGATTTCTTGATGTTATGCAGAACACCAATCTCAGAAATAATTATTTCCAATTCATAGATTATGTAATGGTTAATTTTAGGTGTTGATTTGACTGGATTAAGGAATTTGACTGGTAAAGCATTTTGGGGGGTGTATCTGTGAGGGTGTTTCCAGAGGATATTAGCATGTGAGTCTGAATGAACTAAGTAGGGGACATCCACCTCAATGTGGACAGACACCATTCACTCTACTGGTAGCCCAAAGCAAACAAAAGCAGAGAAAAGGTGAATATGCCAATCTATCTGCTGGACAACTGGTAGCTAGTTCTTGGACAACTCCAGGTTCTTCCTTTCCTGTTCTTGGACAACTCCAGCTTCCCTAGTCTTTGGACTCCAGGGCTTACCAGTGCCCCCTTGGGTTCTCAGGTTTTTGACCTCAGACTGAGAATTATACCATCAGCCTCCATGGTTCTGAGGCCTTTGGACTTGGACCAAGCCACACCACCAGCATCTCAGGGTCTCCAGTTTACAGATGGCCTGTTGTGGGATTTCTCAGCCTCCATAATTGCATGAGTCAATTCCCCTAATAAATCCTTTCTTTTATATCTATATCATCCATATCTATACCTATATCTAATTTATTTCGCATGAGTTCTACTCCAAATGTGTCTTCCTAAGACTATACTTTGGTTGCTTGTGATTGAATTTCCATCTTAGCAGTAAAATAAGATATTTAGAGTATATTCTGCCAAAGAAGACTAATTTTAATCATCATAGATTGCTTTTATTCATTTAAACTTGAAATAGTGACCCTTCATGAACATTTATACAGTTTGCTGTTATCCACCATTTATTGATTATGATACTATTAATAGCTGCTGAGAGAACAGAAGTATTAGACTACCTCATTGTAAGGCTAAAAGTTGAAAAATTCTTATAAATTATAAACCATATAATAGTTCAAACTGGGAAAATGGAATATTACAAGTGGCAAAATTTAGCAAGCATAAAAGAAACATATTTGCTGAAATTTTACCAGGAAAATGTTATATATAAGAAATTTCAGTAAATTATCATCATCAAAAAGCACTTAAGTGCCCACCTGTACCTGGAACTCTTTAGAAAGTGAATAAAGCAAATAAAATGATATGCTACTTTTAGTATGAAAATATATGTTTATGAATAATTTGTTTAGAATATAAGTTTAGTATACTGGGAAAAATACATGTCCATACTGTTCAGATTTTTAATGTAGCATATAATCATTACACAGAATTATTTATCACTGAAGCTTCAGTAATAAAATCATAGGATAACAGAAGCTTGAGCATCAATAAAGAAATAACAATTTAATGTTGTATTATCTGAAACAGAAAAAGAAGTTTTATGCAAGCTGCTGAAAGCGTTATTCTCAAGGCCCTTTCCCTGGGTTATATCTCAATGTCATTTAAGGGACAGAAGAAAAATACCACTCGGTAACAATTTCCTCTGCCTAATGTACTTCCATAAAAACATTTGTATTTAATCAATAGTCCTTAATTTCTATGCAATACATTTACTAACTTATTCATTCACTTATTCATCTATAAATTTATTCATGTCTCAATTACTGACTGAACATCATTCTACCTGTCTAGTAGGATTCTAGTCAATGAAGATATGACAGAGAGCAAGACATTCAAAGTTGCTGCAATCATAGATGTTATATTCTGACCAAGGGAACCAGAATGTAAGACATGGAATAAATAGATAAGGTAAGTTTAGATATGAGAATTACACTGAAGTAAAAAAAAAACAATGCAAGCTTCTAATAAAAATGGCAGAGGGGTGGATTAATAAAATGTAGTATATAGAGTAGTACATGCAGTACTACTCAGCCATAAAAACCAATGGTGAATTAATACCTCTTGTATTATTCTGAATGGAGCTAGAGCCCATTCTTCAAAGTGAAGTATCACAAGAATTTTAAAACAAGCATCACATGTACTCACCATCAAATTGGTACTAACCAATCAACCCTTATGTGCACATATGGAAGTAACATTCATCGGGTGCCAGGTAAGTGGGAAGGGGGAGGAAGGGATGGGTAAATTCACACCTAATGGGTGCAGAGCACACTGTCTGGGGGATGGGCAAGCTTGTAGCTCTGGCTTGGATGGTGCAAAGGCAATGTATGGAACCAAAATGTTTGTACCCCCATAATATTCTGAAATCTAAAAATAAATTTTAAAAAAATGATGGAGGAACTGCTTTTGGATTTCATGAAGAATATACCTGAATGCCAATAAAAAGCAGGCTATTTAAAGATTTTATAAAATAGTATTTTAGGCAGAGGGAACTGCAAGTTAAAAGGTATAATAAGGAACTTGCTTCATTCAATGTTCAAGGAAGAGAGAAGAGGCCAGTACAGCTAGAGCATAGGGAACAAATCAAGGAATGAAAAGATAAGAGGTTGTAGACCATGATAAAAATTTGGGATTTGATTAGAAGTATGGTGAGAAATCATTAGAGAGTTATGAGAACAACATGATCTTAATTTTAAAATTTATATATTTTAAATATTATGTATACAGAAAAGTGCATAAATCACAATTATACAATTTGATGAATTTTTCAAAATAAACAAATCTTTGTAACAAATAGATCAAAAAATAGAAAATTACTAACATCCCCAAAGCCCATGACACCACCAAAAGTAACCACAATTGTGATTTGTATCACCATGGCTTAATTTTATCTTTTTCTTAACTTTCATATTGTGATAATGTCATTTGTGTTTAGCTTCTTTTGCTCAACATTATGTGAGATTCATCCAAGCTATTGTATGCATTCATAGTTTGTTCACTATTTTTCTGTTCTGCTATTGTTTGGCATTTAAATTGCTTCCATTTGGGGGATATTACAAATAATGCAGCTGTGAATATTCTTATACATGTTCACAGGTGAACAAACAGTTGCATTTATCTTGAGAATATAGCCAGACAGGTCATAGGTATACAATGTTTATTCTTCGTAAATATAGCCAAAGAGTTTTCCAAAGTGAATTCTCAGTTTATATTCTTCAATAATGTGTGTAAGTTTCCATATAGCCTACATACTCTAAAACATTTACATTGTCAAATAAAGTTTTTATTTAATTTTCGACATCATTCTGAGTATAGTGTGATGTCTCATGATTTTTGAAGATATATTTTATAGTTTTTATTCTGCATTATCTTGTACATATTTCACAAATAGGAAAATGCTTTACTTTTAAGTTCACAGATTAATGAATTTTCACAAATTTAAACACTCAAATAGCCATCACCACAATCAAGACATTTTCATCATGCAAAACTTCTCTCATTTCCCTGTGCAGTTAACCTCTACCCACCCCAGCCCCAAGCAACCACCAATCTGTTTTTGGTCACAATTAATCAGTTTTGCCTCTTCTATACTTTCATATATGTGGAATCATACTATAGGAATTCTTTTGCATCTGTCTTCTTTTATTCTGTATATTTATTCATGTTGCTTTGTGTGTCATTACTCTTTTTATTTTTATTACAAAGTAGTATCCCAATATATCGATATGCCCCCAAAATGTTAGCCATTTTTCAATCCAGTCATCTGTTGATGGACATTAGAGTGGTTTCCAATTTTGGTTATTATGAGTGAAATTACTATGAACATTCATGTGTAAGCCTTTATGAAGACATGTTTTCTTTTCTTCCCACTCCACCTTGGAATGGGCTTTGTACTAAGTATATGTTTATTTATATCAAAAATTGCCAAAAAGTTGGACAAATTTACACTCCTAAGAGCAATATATAAAAGTTTCGCTTTCTTCACATGCTTGTCAATATTTGGACTTCACTGCCCTTTCAATTTTAGCTATTCTAATGAATGTGTAGTTAGTGATGTCTTTAAAAGGACAGATGTTTTACTGTTAGAACATTCAATTGATTATTTTCTTATAAATTAGTGCTTTATGCATAGAAATATTTGCTAACCAATAGACTGCAAAGATTTTCTTATGTTTTCTTCAAGATATTTATAGGTTTAGCTTTTATAATACTTTTAAGTCTATGATCCATCTAATGTTGAATTTATAAGTATGAAGATCTGGTCAAGGTTCTTTTTTTATTTTTTCATACATATATCCCAGCATATCAGTACCACTTATTGAAAAGATTATTTTTTTCTGTTGAATTATGCTGGTACTTTTTCAAAGAAAACTAATTGAACATATCTATGTGTGAATCTATTTCTGTATATCATACTGTCTTAATTTTTGCAGTTTTAAAATAAGTTTAGAAAACAGTGTAAGTACTTAAACTTTGTATTCTTTTAAAAATTGTCTTGGCAAGTCTAAGTCTTTTAATTTTCCATATAAATATTTAGAATCAGTTTGTCAATTCCTAGGGGAAAAAGAAGCCTGCCTGGATTTTGATTGAGATAACTTAGAATATATAGATCAATTTTGGAAGAATTGATCTGAAATAATATTGAGTTATCTAATCCATGAATGAGGTATATCAGTTCTATTTTTTAGTTCTTCATTTCTCTGATCAACATTTTCTAGTTATAAGTGTAGAGGTCTTTCATATATTTTGTTAAATTTATTCCAAAATACTTCATGATTTGAAGATTCTCTTGAAAATAGAATTGATATTGAACAGAAATCATGAGAACAGATTATCTTTGATTTTTTCCTCAGTTATAGGGAAAAAGTACTTAGTCTTTGCCTTTAAGTTTATCATTAGCTGTAGGTTTTTGAAGGTGCCCCTTATAAGATTAAGTAAATTCTCTATAATTCTTAGTTTGGCTGAGATATTTTATGATGAGTGGGCATTGCATTTTATCAAATACGTCTCCACATGCTGAATTGATCATTTCATTTAATTATGTCTGATTTTATTGACATAAAGGTTTTTTGCCATTATCTCCTCTTATTTTCTTTTTAATGCCTATTAGATCTGTAGTTATAACTTCTTTTAAATTCCTAATACGTATTAAGGTCGGGCGCAATGGCTCACGCCTGTAATCCTAGCACTCTGGGAGGTCTAGACAGGAGGATTGCTTGAGGTCAGGAGTTCAAGATCAGTCTGAGCAAGACCCTGTCTCTATTAAAAGTAGAAAAACTAGCCGAGTGTTGAGGCACGTGCCCGTGGTCCTACCTACCTGGGAGGCTCAAGCAGGAGGATTGCTTGAGCCCAGGAGTTTGAGGTTCCAGTGAGCTCTGATGACGCCACTGCATATTACCCAGGGTGACAGAAAGAGACTGTCTCAAAAAAAAATAAATAAAAATAAAAAACTTCTTCAACTGTAGTTAAACAGGAATTGCCTGAAGCTGAGAACACACCCTCTAAAAGCTCTGTATTTCTGCTTATCAAAACAATGGCATTTCAGATAAGAGTCTCTATCCTTCTCATTTGTCGGCAAATTAATAAAACTCCTCTTTCCTTCTCCTCAAAAATAAATAAATAAATAAATAAATTCCTAGGCCGGGCGCAGTGGCTCACGCCTGTAATCCTAGCTCTCTGGGAGGCCAAAGCGGGCGGATTGCTCGAAGTCAGGAGTTCGAAACCAGCCTGAGCAAGAGTGAGACCCCGTCTCTACTATAAATAGAAAGAAATTAATTGGCCAACTAATATATATAGAAAAAATTAGCCGGGCATGGTGGCACATGCCTGTAGTCCCAGCTACTTGGGGAGGCTGAGGCAGGAGGATCGCTTGAGCCCAGGAGTTTGAGGTTGCTGTGAGCTAGGCTGACGCCCACGGCACTCACTCTAGCCTAGGCAACAAAGCGAGACACTGTCTCAAAAAAAAAAAAATAAAAAATAAATAAATTCCTGATGTTAACCATTCATGCCTTTCTATTTTTCTGTATCAAATTAGATTTTTATTGTTTTTATTTTTCTTTTAATAAAAGCTTCTTTTGGTTTCATTACATTTCTCTGTTCTTTTCTGTTGTCTTCATCCTGATTTTCAATTTTTATCTTAGTTATTTTTTTCCTTTTACTTACTTTACGTTTAGTTTTCTTTTTGCTTCTAATTTTCTTAATTTTTCTTTTTTTAAAAGTTTCTTCAGGTGGAAGATAATAGATTATGTGCATATATACATATACGATAAAATGTATAATTTTAGTATCATTCTACAAATTTTGATATGCTGTGCTTCTCATCTTCATTCATTTCAAAATGTTTTTGTAGTTTTCCTATGATTTCTTCTTCCATCAATGCATTATTTAGAAATGAGTTGTTTAATTACCTTATATTGGAGGAATTTACAGATATCTTACTCTTATTGAATTGTAATTCAATTTTATTTTGGTCAAAGAGCACAGTCTGTATGATGTCAATCCTTTGAAATTTATGGAGACTCATTATATGGTCCAGTACATAACCTATATTGGTGAATGTTCCACATACATTTGAAAATAATGTATATTTTGTTGTATTAGGTAGAATGTTCTATAAATATCAATTAGGCAAAGTTTTCTATTCCTACTTTTCTAGGAATTCAATCATTTTTTCTTGTACCTCTTGTAATAATCATGTAATTTTCATTCTTTATTAATGTGGTGAATGATATTGATTGACATACAAATGCATTCTATGGTTAGATTTAATTTAATGATGATGTAATGGCTTTTTTATATGATGCTGGATTTGATTATTTAATACCTTATCTAAGATTTGTGCCTCTTTTTCACATGACAGAATGGCCTTAAATTTTCTTTCTTATAAAGTTGCTCTCAGATATTAATAC